CCCAACATTCTGTGATTCTGTGTGATTCTATGCATATACATATTTGAGTACATGTGGGTGAAATTTAGGCATTTCATACCTGTATGTAAAACAAGGGGAAGACAGATTTTATTTACAATTTAAATATTCTGCTGCAAGGAAAGTATATTTCTCAATAAACAGAAAACTAAAAGAATACTATATGAAAATCCTGCCGAATTGTATAGCTACCTGCAAATCCCAAAGCTGTTAGAGGAAAGAAAACCTGTACTCACACTTGTATTCACGTATTAATTTCTATTCATCCTGTTCTCCCATCCCTAATTTTTTTTTATTTATTCACAGGTGTGCACAGACAACATTTCCAGAAAGGAAATGTTTGTGAGAAGATTTTGACATTGTACATTTTCTTTTCTGTAGGTATCTGAATCATCAAATCCATTTCTAAATCGTATGCTTAACAGAGACACCATAACAAGAATAACATATAAAAGTGAGTTTCTTTTAATTTACTATGGCTAACAGCTGCATGCTTTTAGTATCAACATTTAGTGACCCACTGAAAGAAGAGGCACTTCATTATGGGCAAAAATTACAAAGTTTGCATTGCCAGCAACTCTGCATGATAAACTTGGGAACCTGAAAAATCTAGTAAGGTCATCAGTCCATCAAACGAATTTGGAACTTCAAAGTCTATTTCATGTTTGAACAAGTAATAAATTAAATTATACTTAACAACCACATATACTGTATTCACAGAATACTCAGGAGAAACTGCCTACTGTTAGCAATAAAAGTAACACATGGAGCAGCCTGGATTACATCACATCAGATTATGTCAAGATGCTGCATCATTAACTGTGCATTTAGTATTCACTAATGCCTTATTTTTGTACAGAAGAGTTATGACATTTTTATTCAACTATTGCTGCATTTAATGGATATATAGAGGTCATTAACATAGCATATATATTTGTTGTATTCACATCCAGAAAGCCTTTAACTGATAATGGTCAATAATTCCATGTTAGTATATTGAACTCGTGGGAAGCTGGAACTTAAATGTCAGTAAAAATTAGGCTAATTTAGAGCAAGTCGTGAGAAATACACATATCTCAATGAAACAAATTAAACCTCTTATCCTGAAAACCTTATTCTTTGTCAAATATTCACTTGGATTCCAAGAAGCCATTAAGTTAATGAAATAAGCTAAATGATAACCGAATTTAACTTTCAGAAACCACACAGCAAACTGAAAAAATAAGTATTGTAAAACTCAGCCTTCGTGTGTTGTTCTGTAAACAATGATGTAACAATTTTCATAAATTTAATTAATTTTGCTTTTGTTTATTACAAGCTGTGAGAGAGCTGTACATGATAACTGGAATGAGACTGGTTATCAGGACTCCGGGATTTGGTTCACAATTCCGCTAGGGTTTGCCTCAGTTTACCTCTCTGTAAATTAAATATATTGTACTATATACTCCACAACAACATAGTGTTACTTGGAAAGCTGCGCATCTGCAACCCCCGAGATCTCAAGCATCCATTTAACTTCAACAAAAGTCACTGAATTTCAGGTTTATGATTAAAAGATTTGTAGATATTTCTATACATGTCCCTAAAGTACACAGTGTGATTTATTTCTGTGGACTCCACCTTTTCCCCCTCCCTGCAAAGCTAGGATTGTAAAAAGGAAAAGGGTAGATCTGAGACCAATGTAAAGCAGAAGCACAGAATTTTACCCAATAATTCCTAAACAAGAGAGCACTAGAAAGATTTCAAGTCTTGCCATACAATACAGAATTTGAGCACTGGAGCCCACCCAAGCCCATTCGGAAGTAGGTAGTTCCTTGTCCTCTCCTATAACAGATACCTTTCTTCCTACTGATGTTTCTCTAATTTCACCTTATAGTTAACAAATCTTGTTACATCTTTGGGCCAAATAAGAGGCCTCTATTATGATAAAACTCCATTCTCCATGATACTTATAGAAAGGAAGGCGACAGAGAGTTCCCCTCAGAATATTTTTTCCAGATTGTTCTGTCAGTATGAAATATCTTCTCTGCATGGAAGAAGCAGATTAGCCCAGTTTTTAAACTGCCTGTCTTGACTCCTTACAAAAACACAGCAATACAGTTCTGCAAGGGTTTCCTGCCTACCAGTGCTGCTGCAGCATCCTGGAGATGAGAAATTGTTAAGGCTTTATGTGGTTTTTTCAGGCTCTTTCACTTCCAAGTTACATATTCCTGGCTTCTGTCTGGGAACCAGCCAGAAGATCTCCAAGTGCACTGCTGAGAAAGCTGTTTTTCCCCCTGTGCACACACACACAGACCTGTCAGGTCTCACACACTGAGTAGGAGAAGATTCCTGCCTCATTTTTCCCATCACAGCAGTTGTAGCTCATGCATTTACAGGAGTGTGACAGCCTTTGTTGTACTCCTTGGCCCCCCATGCTGCAATAGCTGGGCAGCGGAGCAAAGACTGGGGAACTTGTGGTGGCTCAGAGCAGAGAAGAGGTCATGATTAGGGATATACAGCTCCACAGGGCAGGAAGGCACCGGCAGCATCTTTCCCTTGTTGCATGAGCGACCATGCAACCGTCACCCACACCAGCAGGCAAGCACACCTTCCCAATGCAAAATACTTTGTTTGTACTCTGCACTTACAAGCGGGCACTCCTCCTCTCTGGAGCTGACAGCATCCTACAACCTTCCATTAGTTGTTTTGCCTCTTCAGAAGGAAATTGCAATTCCAATCACACCTAATTTGGGCTTATTAAATGAGATGAACACATAACATAGGCTGCAAAATCAATGATTCACAGAAATGTCGTAATTTTTAACCACTGCTGCCACTAACAAGTTTATCTGTTAAAATGAAATAGTCAGTGGGTACAATGCACATAATATTCTGCAGGGCACTGGGTTACTTACTGTAGTAACAAGTATTGACTGGGAATTTTTTAGTGTAAATTGGGAAAGTGAAAGTGTTATTGAAAGTAATTTTTCAGTTGTCTTGTGTGATGGATTATGGCATCATTGCTGAAAACTAATTTTACATCTTACATTGTGAGGATTTCTGTTCTGCCGTTAGCTGCTGGAATTTTTTAGCTTGTGCTTTAGGTGTCCACTCCTGAAATCAATACTCAGGAGGCTGCTGACAAAGTGACCAGCCCCAGTGTGCCCAATAGGAGCGTGGAGCAAATGTTAAGTGGAGCAGAGTTTCAGAGTCAGGACAGTCAGTAACATAACTAAAGTTTTTTGGGGTTTTTTTTTGTGTGGTTTTTTTGTGGTTTTTTTTTTTTTTTTTTTTTTAAGAACAGCAACAAAATTAAGAGCTATCTATGCTGTTGTGTGAAGTTTCCATGGGCAAAATGCATTAAAAAGGGAATTTCTATTCTTGGATATTAATGGCCACAGTGAGGTAAAGCGGACCCCAAGGAATTTTTAAGCAGATTTTAAATGCTTATTTTATTCTGTTATCACAGCCGAAAGAATCCACTGTGAACCAGTTGAAACAAGTGCTCTTTCAAACAGACTTTAGTCAGAAGCTATGTGAATATCTCTAAAGAAAAACTGCTTTACTATTTCTCTATAAGTATGACATTTGAGGGGATAAGTCAGCTTTCTTTCAGAATAGTTATGCTACATTAGCTTTCACCCAGTGTTTGCTTAGCATTGGAAAGAAGTAACATTTTAGATTCCCAAAATTCCTTATGAAAATTTGGGCTTGTCATTCTGCAACAAAATAATGCCACAAGTTCAGCTAGGCAGAAGAGCTATAAAATTCTGAATTTCCTCAAATTCAGTCTTCAGCTATTTTATAGATAACGTACAAGTGAATAGAGTATTGTGATTTTAATAGATTGTCTTGAAAAAGCTTAAGATTCAGATTTCTGGAAATAAGAGACTATTAATTTCTCAAGGTTCATGTTTCAGTGGGTTCTCTGAAGGAGTGAGCTCTTGCAGCTCCTGTCACAAGCAGTAAGAGCTCAGCAGTCTCAAACCAGGTGCCAAGGGACCAACCTCAGGTGTTCAAGATGAGTCTCTGTCAGCCTGGGTCTCAGTGACTTGTGGAGGCTGGTAAATTGAGAAACTCAGTTTCGGGATTAAAAAACTGAGCATCTCTACATCCCTTACCCTGTGATCTAGTTAGAGCTGTACTTTCTCATTTTGGATTACCATGGTATGATTTTCAAAATCAAACGGACCTTCCTTATTCAGTAAATAATATATTCCCTTTAAATACTATTGTTTTAAAGAGAATACACATACAATTGGCAGTGAAAGCAGACCCCACACAGCTATTGCTAATCTAGGGATAAAAGAGGATTTCCATCATTTGCTAAGAAAATTGTCAGAGTCAAGGCCTTTATGTTAATGAATATGAAATCTAACTTGTATAGAGAAGAGTAAATGAGTTCAGAAATCACCCTAAGGCACAAGCAGATCAAGATAAACAGAATGGGGGCTGTAAATAGGAATGATGCTGAGAATCTAGTAAAGACTGAATGGGTTTATTAAAGGACGTTTATTACTGGCAAGAGATCACACATGGTGATTTTGACCATTTTGAACTACATACTTGCAATAAATGTGATAAAAGACAAGATATTAAAGTGCTGCAGTCTAGTATTAGTGCAAACCCACCAGTCCTGTTTCAGTTCCAGAACAGGAAACTTCTATCAGGATGTGGGGAAAGGGAAAGAAAAGAGCAGAGATGTTCATGGGAAAAACGTTGATAACCAAGTATTTATTCTGTAGTCTTTTGCTAGGCCATTCTCCTGGAGTCATCTGATTTCCCATGGGAATATAACCCATATACAGGCATGAATAAATACTGCTTTTACTTGGTCAAACTCCCTTATTTTGTTATTTCATTCACCCCTATCTTCCCTTTTTTCCCGAGTTGATATTTTCCTGCAGTTTCCCATTAATCACAACTGACACATTTTGACACATAATTTGTTGTTTCTCCTTAAACATATTCCAAGTGATGACAGAGACAATGAACCAGGTTTGGAGCCATGCCTCTGCTGGGTGCTGGTTGGGGAGATGGCCACACATTTTGTAGGTCCTCAGTATGCAAAGAAGGTAACCTAGCAGTTGGTCCAAAGCTCAATAATGCTAAGGAGAACATCTCTCCTGATCTTGAGAGCACTGGCATACGTTGGGCTTGCCCAAAAGAATAGGAAGACCATACCCCAATACTGCTCCATACCATGTTCCACCCTGAAGAGTTATTATGTTCTGAGAATGACTTTACTGTAAATCCACAGACAAAAGTTAGAAGCCCATATCAAAGTAATGAATTACGTTGTCTATTAAAGCAATGTGAGGCAAATCCAAAAACCCCATGATTACCTGTACTAATGCCAGCAGTTCATCTGTTTCTCTATCTTCCATTTGAGAAGTAGTTCTATTGTTAATAATCTGTGCACTGTCCTGAATAGAAATTAATCAACTAGAACATGGCACACAGAAAAGATATATATTTATATACATCGCAGTATCCCTCACCTGTATTAATCTTTAATTAGCTTTCCATCTCCTAGCAAACATTTTAGGGCAAATTCTACCTTGTTTAAATAATCTTAGCCCAACCGAAGTCCATATGGATGTGACAAAGCAGATTTGGTCCTTAAGAGTTTGAAACTATCCGTTCTGACTGACTCCATGCCATTTGGAGCTAACACACCACACTCCCCGTGGTTCATAAATAATGAACAGGATGTTCATGTGGGAAAGGGAAAAAAATGTCTGATGACTCACTGAAAACAAGCACTGGCTAGAAAAAATACATTCATTCTCTTATGTAGTTCTAGCAAGATTACCACTGCACTGCAAGTAAAGTTTTTATTGAATAGGATATCTGTGTATTCAGTCAGCTCTAGCTGTTAAATTTTAACAGCATTTTGGCCCTAGTACCATAGCAATGGTTTTGCACTTTCATCTTGGGGTTTAGAAAGACTCTGTATCCCAGGCCATGGGCCAGTGAAGGCTGAGCATGTTAAAAAGGTGACAGTCAGCCACCTACAAGACACTTAAGAGTAGTTTCCCCTCTAGTTGGGGATCCAGCTACATGGCCTGGCAGTTACCCTGGCTCAAAGTGCAAGAACATGGCACAAGGCTGTATTTTTGACAAATTTGAAAGGACCTGCCAAGATTATATTTTGTAAAATAACAAACATTTAAAATATGAAATAACTAATGCACTGGTCAATGTGGTGTAAATGTTACACTCTCACCTTGACACCTGAACTGATCCTATCGTCACTAATATTGCTTTGCTACCCCAGAAGCCTGTAGCATGTTGTCTGCAATATGTCAAAATAAAAAAAGGTCACATTTGCTTCACCTGTGTTATTTGATTTTCTGTTGCCCCAGACAGTAGTTTCCGTCCTTTTTTTTTTTCCACTAGATAGTATGAGACAAGCATTTTGCTCATTGAAGTTTTGTCCTTCAGATATAATATGTTAAATTCAAGTTAAATTACCCTTTTCTTTTTTAGTTCTTACACACTTCCTTGATCATTCATATTTCTTTCCCCGGTTCCATTTACAATATTTTCCTGATAGCCAAGGAACTGTTTATCAGTTTTAAAAAATAAATTAAAAAAAAAGTCCCACAAAACTAAAAACTGTTTAAACTTACAGTGAATGGTACATGGAAGACATCAGAGAACCCAATAGAAATGCCTAAATTATTGACATTGACTTAAAAGATGCACTTTCAATATTTTTCTTCAGCCTGAGCAGTTTCTGCTATTTTATTTGCACTATCTTCCTTGCCTTCCATTAAAATCAATGCCAGTTCCTCTTGTGTATTGAAAGGGGAAACACACCTAAATATGCAGCTTTCCTTGCCCACGTATTAGCACTTAGTCTGCAAATGAACCATATCGAACACGTTACATGCAAGTGAAAGCATGCAGAGAGATTTCCCAACATTACGGTTCGTAACCAGCTTTCTCTGAGATGCAAGATAGCAGTAGCATATCTGAAGTAAAGTGTGTGTGTCCCTGAGGATTTCCTATTAAGGAACTCCTACAGCCTAAGATTTGGCAGGAAAATCTGAGCTCCGGTTCTGACAGCACTGCCGAAAGTATTGTAGGGCCAGCATTACACAAGGGAAGTAATGCACAGAGGATAGAAAAGGTGGAGGAACTTTGATGAATTTTAAAAGATAAAACCATACCTCATTATATTTTGGCACGTATCCACAGAGCGAATTCTGTTGCAAAGGAAAACCTCATTAATTCCCAGGGAGACTTAGGATAAAAGCAGGGACCCTTGTAAGCAGCTTTCCAGCATACTTTTCCACCCTGATTTTAGCATTCTGAGTGAGCTTGCACTGCATCCTCCCCCACTGTGCAATGAAAGGCCAGCAGGCTTCATTGAGCAACTTTATTACCACGCATTAACCTTAACTTCCTCCTGTGGTAGAAGGGCAATTACGTTTTAACATTCTCAGCCTTCCCAAGACTTTGTTGAGCAAAAATTGTTAATCGCTCCAAAATCCGGTAAGTCAACATTCTCCAAAGGCTGCTGCATCTAAATCAGTAACTGCAAGTTCAAGAAGCTTTTAACTCCAGTTCTTAAACAAGATGCAGAGTTTCACTGTGAATGCTTGTTCTAAACTCAGATGGTGTGCATGGGCATCTAAGAACAGAACTCAACCCAAGCAGGGTCAGTGACTTCATGTTATTTGTTCTTGTCCAAACCGCTGGAGCATTCAGAAATGTATGCCAAGTACACTTCCTATTTTGGTAAGACTGATGATGTTCCAGAATAAGGATTGTACATAAAAAGGGGGGATTTTTTTTTTGTGAATCTATTGTTTTATCTCAGTCGTTTTCCTCCTTTATTCTCAGATGATGCATACTTACTACAGGGGCTTAATATTGAGGAACTTTATCCAGAGACCTCTAGTTTCATTACCTATGATGGGTCAATGACAATTCCACCCTGCTATGAAACAGCAAGCTGGATAATAATGAACAAACCTGTCTACATAACGAGGATGCAGGTAAAAATAATTTTAAAGTTACTCAATCTAGTATAGGTACTAAATAATATTTTAAACATATACTTGTAACTTTACATACAAAAATCAGATTAAACTTTTCTGTCTGCAATTTATACAGCTTGCAAAAGCCTTGAAGAATTTTTTACCAAAATAAAAATATTAAATATTCAGAGCTCTCTTAAGTATCACATACTCTGAGGTGGACCCTACTTTCAGTGAGACCACAACTAGTGGTCTCTTCCAAACTAAATTACTCTATGATTCTGTGAACAGATATATGGGGATTCTAAAATAAATATAGCAGTGTTGTACAAAAATAACTGAGGTTATTAAGTATAACAAAATCTGTTCTTAGGTAAGAAAGAAACAGTCAAATTGTGAGTGACACTCATGACTATTTAAATACACATCAATAGCACATTAATGTGACAGAGATCCAATATATGGGGCTGCCTTGAAAAAAAGTCAGCTAGTGCTTTCTGGTATAGAGTAAGGATAGACATTGCAAATATCATCAGAAAATTCAGACTGAAAAATTGAAGCCCCTATTAGAAAGAAGCACGAAAAAATATGTAAAAGAAAATGCAATTAATTTCATAGTCAAAATTATGCTGTTGAGGAACCACACCAGTGAAAGGGAGAGATTATATTTCTGTATGACTTGAATACAATCTAAGGCCTAACATCAGAAAACAACAAATTTAACATCTATTGCAATCTTCTCCAGAGCTTCCAGTGAGCTGCTTATGGAGCTGTGAGCTGAACTAAAACCTGTTCTCTTGCTACTAGAGTCCCAAAGGAATACTTGAACCAGTATCTGCCTGTCCCAGGCATGCAGCAGAGCAATCTGGCCTGAAAAATGAAACAAGGAATGATAAAACAACCCTAAATATTACTTTGGGATTTAAAATCATATTAACATTATAAATAAAATTACTTTTAAAAAGCCTGAGATGTTTTATCTTTGCGATGTTCCTTCTGTCCAATTTTGTCTAGATGCAGAGAAACCACTTTGTTTCCTTTCTCAATGGGTAATTTGGGAAAATGACACAGCGGAGCACAGGCAGGCATGCTGTACATTCTGAGCTTTTCAAGCAGGGGACTTGAACATTTTCCTACAAGCAATGTTTTTAGTTACAACATTAATGTACAAAACAAGGATTAGAATATTTCTGGAATCTGTGCTAGTACCTACAAGTTATAATCTCATGATACTTACTCCTTGTCATGCTTTACTGGTTAGTTACATCCTCCACTATTAGTGCTGCAAATTGATTTCATGGAATACTTACTAATTACATTGTGTACTCAGACTGAAAAAGTAATGCACAGCTCAAGTTTTCCTTGGAAGCTGTTGAAGATTCTCAGTATGTAAAACCCATCTTCTGTATTTTCCTCACTTAAGCATTAAATGCCACAACCAAACCTCTTAAATTGTATACTGACATGGAAGATACTTTATTTTTAAAGCAAAATATTTTGAGGGTTACTGATTTACAAATTGCAGCTTCCCCCCCCCCGCCCCCCTCCAGTTTCCCGTATAAAGTTTGAAAGGTTTTGGTTTGCTTGAGCCAATTAACATGCTTTTAGCACAGTTGCATAGTCATCGTAAGAACTGTTGCTGTCTGCTTGTAGTTTGCATCCAACCACTGCTGGGGAAACACTGAAAATCCTGGATGATTCAGTAATTCCCTCTCTGCTCATCCATAAAACCATCTCAAAAGGCAACCAGAGTCTACCAGAGGAACACTATAGACAGCACAGACAGTGTCAAGACAGACCTGTCAACAAGAGAAGATTTCAGTTTTTAACATCATTAATTTCATGACTTCAACAGCATGACTGACAGTTATCCTTTCCATCCTGACTGGCCATGCCTGGTTTTTGAGTACCATCATCCATAACTGTGTCTTCTCAACTGGAAGCTACACTAATAGCTACAAAACTTAGGAAATTAGCTCTTGTCATTCATCAAGTTCATTTTCTGTGCACCAGCTGCTGCCACCCAGTAGTCTGGATTCCATTTGTTTCCTGAGCAGCCAAGGACACCTCATACCATTTTCACTTCCTCCACACAAAGCTAGTTACTTCCATTTAAAACGGGGCTCAGAAACAGAGGACCACAGAAGGAACAGTTTTACCTCAAGTTAATTGTTTCAATCCACCTCTGACTATCACTGAAATTCTGTTTAATTTTCATTTATTAAGTAGTCTATTTAATAGTTTTGTATGTTGTTTACTTACAGGAAAGACCAGTACTAAAAATCTTTGTTTTGTATTTTGTATAGATGCATTCTTTACGACTGCTAAGCCAGAATCAGCCATCACAGATATTTCTGAGCATGAGCGACAATTTCAGACCAGTCCAGCCTCTCAACAATCGATGTATCCGAACTAACATCAACTTTAGTTTACAGGGAAAAGATTGTCCAAACAATAGAGCACAGAAACTGCAGTATAGAGGTACGTTCTACCTCCAGAATAATCCTTTCTATGCTTACACTGAGCTCTTTTCTTTGAGAAACCCAAGTGCATAACAAAGATACAAATAAAACCAGATGAAACTCCAGATTCTGGAGGACTAACAATATGAGTCAAACATTACATACTGGAAATGGATGAGGAAACTTGCCCAGAAATATACAGGAAAAAGCTTAAAAAAAAAAAAAAAAAGACAAAAAACAGTCCGGGACATCTAATTTTTTATTTTTTATTTTTTTTTTCTTTTTGAGGCAGATAGGACAGGCCTTCAGTTTTCTAGCCTCATTTTAAAGTCTTCTCACCTAACAAAGCACATTTTGCTCTGTTTTACCCATCTGGGAAAGAAAAAGAGGGATAAGCTAGTCTTGATCTCAGAATAAATTTCGCTTTGGAGGTACACCACCATAACAGACACCCAAATTGGAAAGTTTTGCATTATGCAACAGTTATTAAACAAATGAACCAACCCAGTCTCCTTACACTGCCACAGCTGGGGCTCACAACTGAGCTGTAGTGTGTCTTACGCATCTTCTAGGCTATGCACCCACAGTTATATTACCTGAGTTAATGGTGTAAAAGTGCCTTTTACTCATAATATTATGGCTGTGAAGGAGTGCTGTTGAAGGGTGGAAAAGGAAACACATTTTCAGCAACAAGGCTGATGACTGAGTTACAGTACTTCAAAGAAACAGTCATTCGGACTTAATTCTTTTCCAGAAAGAGGAGGAAACTGAGCCACCTGGTTTTTTCAAGACATATCGTTTAAGTGCCTAATACAGTGTTAAATCCAGTCACTTTCATATTTGGAGTTTATTAAAGCATAATTGTTTTTGTTTTGTTTCTCTTTCCTTTCAGTAAATGAATGGCTCCTCAAGTAAGTAACACAGAGCAGGCAGAACCCCTAACCTCAGTGGAATGCTACTACTGTGAATTGACATAATCTAGAAAGCACCCAACCTCACTCTCTTTGGGTTCACGACAGCATGTGCCAACATGCTGTAGGAAAAGAGCTGCCATGTTGGAAACAACTAAAAATTCATTCATATGATCGGTGGTAATTAAAAAAATTTAAAAGACAGTATTACAGTAAATGTGATTACAATTTTGATACAGTTTTCCTGAACTAATTTAGCTTCACAAAGACAGACTTTTCAGCCTTTGTACATATGAAATTCTTCCTCTTTTCCCCCCTCCCTCAAATTAAAAAAAAAAAAAAAAAAAAAAGAAAAAAAGAAAAAAAAAGAAAAAAGGTGGCTCGGTACAGCATCAAAGTGGAATTGTGTTCTGTGTGCCAAGTAATCCTTGGAAAGCTCTCATTATTTCACTATCATTAATGGATACTGACAAGACAGAACAAGAAGACTGTAGAGGAAACTTATTTCTAGGTTATGATCTTTCTGTTTATTTAATTAAACAAGGGACAGACTGAGAGATAAGTATTGTAAATATATCACTGCAGAATATAAAGGAAATTGAAATATTTCCCTCCTTGTCACATATCTGTAGTAGGATTTGCCAAAATCAGAATTGATCCATTTTCTGTTTCTTGTTTTACAACAGGTCATAACGTTGTGTTGGTTACTATTAACAACTCAATAAATGTGTTTAACAAATTAATTTAGTAAACTTGCTTTGATTTATTTTTTCCTTACTGAAATAACAAACCTCTGCTACTCATGGCTGCATTATTTGTGGGGTGTTTTTTCTTTTTTGTTTTGTTTTGTTTTTTTCTTTTTTTCTTTTTTTTTTAACTTCATTTATTTGTTTGCAGCCAGTTTAAGTGAGTTGATGGCAATTGGGAATGCACTTAAAGCTAGTATAATTTTAATTCCACTTTATGGTCCATCATTTATAGGAGCTGGGCTCAGATGGAGAAAGCAGTTAAAATATATCTCAGTTTAAAATTGCCGTTTTCCCAGCTGAATCCATCATTGGGACAAACAAATTCAGTCCTGTAAATCAGTGCTGGAAAGGGATATCTTTTCTTTACAGATAAAGCAGGAGCTGACCAAGTGAAAGCAAATGCCTTTTTTCTTGTTTATAATGGTCATTCACTGTGTTTGGTTACTGTCAAGAGCTCAATAAATGTGTTTAACAAGTTCATACAGCGCATGTTTGGCTTTCTTGCACATTAAGGGATATATACATTTATTTTTTTTATCTGTAGAGGGGACAAACCTCATGTTATTCCATTCCTAATGCTCATTTTATAACCCACAACATCTTGAAGTTCACAGAAAACACCATGAAGCTAGAAAGTACCATGCCTGACCAATAAATTGTTTATACCAAATAGAATAAACAGGCACTACAAGAAGTGTGAGGGAACTGGACCACTGTAAAGAAGTTACTGATGTTGCAGGCCAACTAGCTTTATCATGACAAACATTATTTCATCTTTGGCTGAAGAGAACAGTTGCAGGTAGCATCAGACAGGAAACTCTGGGTCTGTGCTGCGGACAGCAGTTTGGAAAGATTGCAACTTGTGTGACTTCATCTATGACATGAAAGGAAAAGTTATCAGGAAAGTGAAAGCATCTACAGGCATTCAGGGGACTCTCAAAGTAGGTATGTGGATGTAGATGGAAACCTGTAAGGAACCCAAAGTTGTCAACAATTTAGTTGTTCAATGAAAGGTCCAGAGAAATCACTAGAGAAAGAGCAGAGGTGGCCTGCATGGGCTCTGACACAGGGATGCTGTATTTGCAGCAGGGTTCTGGGCTGATGACCTTGGCCCAACATCTATTAGCGCATATATAGTACCTGGTCCTTCCATTATTTCATTTTGAGCATTTCAAATTACTTCCATATATGAGCTTAACACTGTTCAATGATCTGAAAAATCCACAACACAACCACAGGAATGTCTCCCAGTGACTATTACACTGGAGATTAATATTATAAAATTCTGCAGCTAAAATTAAGCTAAGTTATCACCTCCAATTTACCTAGCTAATAAAAAATGAAAAACACCTCAAGTCATACACATTTAGTATTCTTCAGTTGCCATAGTGATCTATAACTTTTAAAACTTGTGGTGTTGGGATTCTTTCCACTATTTGAGTGATTTGGGTTTTCTGAAGCTTCTCTTAGGATTGGTAATGCTGTAAAGTTACTGAGAGCATGAAGTCCACAATGCTTCAAACTATATTTTTGAACAAACATCTGGAAGTTGTTGATCCAAGTTTGTCAGTGACAGAAGGTAGGGAAGATAAGCCAGGCCTCCATTATAAAACTTTTAATAAGTAATAAAACCTATTTTCTATTTTACTGAAAGCTGATTGAAGGGATTTAAGAGGAGGGAGAGATATGATAGAAGGGACTAGTCCTAGGAAGGAGTCATGCTGTGCTTTGGATTAGGCGAGGCTACAATATAGAAGCCCTGCAAATAGAGAAATGGAGCAATCACACTGGGACACCACAAAAATATTTGTCAACATTCCCAGCTCCATTTTCTGCACTAATGAACTCCATGTTGCAATGATTTGTTTAGGTTTTTGTTTTAATAATAGATTGTAGTAGAAATAAACCAAACTGAAGCTTAGAATTAAGTATCTTGCACATTCCTCACATTTTAGTACCGCTCAAATATAGACATCTAGCTCCAGATTTTCAGAACAGACATGTATCTTTGTGTCAAGCGACACTGAGCATCCAAAGAAAGCCACACCTTATCACAAAGTCTTTAAGCAAAAAGATAAAGTTTCAGTATCAAACATGTAGCACAGACAATCTTTCAGTGTTCATAGTCTATGGAGCACAGGAACACGTGCACATTGTAATCCCTCCAACTTGGGCGCTTTCTGTCCAAAATGCTCACCAGAAGCCTGGCTGCATGCAGAGCTCAATACTCAGTACCCTGTAGTAAGAGCTGAATTTGTGGCCTCAATACCATCCCTGCCCAAATCATTCAGATTATGAGTGAGATTCCTTGCTTGTGATAAAGCTCAGGACAGGCATGAGCTGCCTGGTAGGGAATATAAACCTGGCAGCAGTCCTTGATGAACGATCAATGCCAGAGGCAGCACCAGGTTGCCATGCCATGATGATAACAGACATTAAGAACCTAATACTGGGAGGAAATGCTCAGATTTGATCTTCCACTATCAAGGTTAAGAATATGGTATCAAACCAGGTACCAAACTTATCGAGCTCATTTGATGACAAAAAACCATGAGAAAAAAATTGAATTAACAGTACTGCAAAAGCCTCTGTTTCAAGGAGTATTCAAAAAGTGTAATAGCCACATTTTAAGCTCAGTTTTAAAATTTTTTTTGTTATAAAACAAAACAAAAAACCCTTAGGGTAATACTTCAGAATCCTTCCTGCTTATGACAGACCCTGCCTGTTTTTTGGGGCTTTCCACACCTTTCTGCTTCCAACACCAGCCTTCCCTTTCAAAATTACAAGCAGCTTTGAGCAATGCAATAAAGGCTTACCACACAGAATCACAATACTGCCATAAAAATACAAGAGTTGGCAAGTCTTTTGATATTAACTGTTGCTGGAATCAACATATAAGCAGCTTTGAGCAATGCAATAAAGGTTTACCACACAGAATCACAATGCTGTCATAAAAATACAAGAGTTGGCAAGTTTTTTGATATTAACTGTTGCTGGAATCAACATATTTCAGCTGCCATTAAAAAAATAATAATATAAAAAGAGCAACTACATCTATTAATTGGTGAAGACAAGCTTGAATGCAGGATATGATTGCATACAAAATGCCAAGACCATAAAGCAACTAAAGTCTTTCCAACATTTAAGGTATTCTTCATGATCTTTAATATTAAGGAGGAAGGCTGTTTAATTTTTTCTTTTATTTTTTAAAGTACTCAGAGTTAACAATACTGAAATTCCATCAAAATCTGAAAATAAAGCTGAAATTTTCCTTAGACACTGCTTTCAGAGGCTGAACCTTCCCCGAAAGTCAAGAACTGAAGGGAAAACTGTGACTGGTCAGTATATTTTATTGTAAACACCAGAAATGCAGCAAAAAGGCAGATGTTTTGCATGTTCTGCTGTACATCTCGAAACTTCAGAACTGGACACTACCCAAAAAATCCCAGATGTTTGGTTGCTCTACTCAAAACAGTATAAATTTTTCGAAGAGAGCAGCCATAACTGTTCCATGTTTTGATTTGGGTTTTTTTTATTAGCTTTTATTCCCTAGATGCAGTGGCTGACAAAGCACAGAGTTTGCTGTAAGAAATGCTGATTTACTAGCAAATGGCTTACCGCAGTTCTCAACAGCGCACCGTAAAATTATTCAAGGAGTCTGTTTGCACAGTAAAGAACAAGAACCATTTATAATGTGAAACATAATGCAGGCAAACATTTTCTGTTTCCTACAGTGTCAGGCTTCTATTCTAATAGCTAAAGATGTGTCAAACACAGAGCAGAAAATGAAAAACAGGATAATAAATCTAAGGACAGGAAAATAACCCTTAGTATTTAGAGAAAAAAAATCTTAGAAGTATTAGAAAAATAGAAAGGAAAAAAAATCAACACAGTTTATGAATTTAGGCAGATGCTCCCCATTAAAAGTAAATCCAAGTGGAACAAACTCACAGCTAGAAAATACTATAGTCACCTCAGAACAAAGGTTAAGTCTATAAACTTCACCTTGGGTGGCTATTCCCAGCACAAGGAGACAGTCAACACCTAGCAAAGAGATCTTATTTTCTGAGACTTTAATTTATTTGTGTCCAGGGCAGATGTTCAAATGCACAAATATATCCCTTGATCAAGGGGAAACAATGCTAGATTGTATTCAGGATATCCTTCCTAATTCCTGGACTCCATTCTGGCTGTGCCACCTCAATGCTGTATGAGGTGATTTTTTGGACCCATCTCTAGGGCTCTGCAAATAAATCAGTCTTCCAGAAAGACCTCCTGCTTTGCTTCACTTACTGTCCTGCTGCACACCTATGCTTTAGTGGAGACTACTTGGAACTTAATTTGTGCAAAGCTAGTGTCTGAAGGGTTAAGCAGACCTCACTCATATAAGTTACAGTGATGGTAGGATTAGCTGAGAAAAAGAGAAGGCAATCAGAACACAAATCATGAAGGAGAGCTAAATTGTGAGCCACTGTAAATACGATTGTTGCAGCCTGACTTACCTGCATTGAGGTTCTG